GAGACCGCGACTCTCTACGGGAGTGGGAAGCCCCGTTTGCTCTCCTGACGAGGGGCTGGTGGGTTCGAACAGCTGACCTTGCCAGTTAGCAGCCCAACACGTCAGCCACTACTACCCAAGGAGCTGCTGATCCCGAGGTCAGGAGTTTGAACCCAGCCAGCCATACCGAGGGAGGAAGATGAGGCTGCCTGCTTAGGTATTGCCTCAGAAACCCATGGGGGTAATTCTACTCCGCAGCCTTTGGGGTCCCTTTGAGTCAGAATCGCCTCTGTGAATTGGTTTTGTTTTGTTTTGGATGCCGCCCACGGTCCCTGGGTGGTACAGACATGGTGAGCCTAAACTTTGGGGCTCTGAACTGACCCAGGGGTGCCGCAGCTGAAAGGCCTGGCACCCTGCTTCTTTAACAAGGTTGTTGGTGGTGGTGACTCTGCGTTGGCAGTAGAGCTCCACTCCAGAGGGTTATTTGAGGCTGTGACCCTTGGGGAGCAGATTGCCAAACCTTTCTCCCGAGCACCTCCATAGGGCTCTGAACCACTCACCTTTCAGCTGGTCGTTGGGCGTTGACCTGTGTGGGCCCCCGCGGGCCCCTCGGCCAGGATGACATCCAGGACCACCCCGAAGGAGTCATGGGATCAACAGGAAGGAAGCAGGTGTGGTTGGGTTTTCTTTGTAGATGGGGCAGGGGGGCACCCCATCGGTGCTCCATGAGTACTTATTGAATGGACGAGTTAGCATAGAAATCTGCAGGTGAACTGCATCTTGCCGCCCTCCAGGAAGGGAAACCTTGGAGGCTGAATGCCTGGAGTCCACACTGGGCTGCTCACCACCAGGTCAGAGGTTCAAACCTACCAGCGGCGCTGAGGGAGACCAATGAGGCTGCCTGCTCCAGTCAAGGCAGCCAGGCTCAGACACCCACGGGGGCCGTTCTACCCTGTCCTATGGGGTCGATAGCATCCGGCATCGCTTTCGCATCACTGAGTTTGGTTTTGGGGGGGGTTGAGGCCCTTCCGGAGAGCTCCAGAGGGGTCCTTCCAAGGGGAGAGTGGGTTTCACAGTGGCTTCTTGCTGCCCCTCCAGGAAGTTTGAGAACATCTACATCGGCTGGGGCCACAAGTACAGCCCGGAAAACTTCAACCCTGCCCTGCCGGTGCCCGTTCAGCAGGAGTATCCCAGCGGGCCGGAAATTATGGAGATGAACGACCCCACGGTGGAGGAGGAGCAGGCGCTGAAGGTGGCCCAGGAGCAGGCCCTGGCCGCGGCCGAGGAGGAAGAGGAGGACGAGGAGGAAGACGAGGATGAGGAAGTAGATGACTGAGGACCCCCGCCCCTGCAGATGGACAGATAGGAGGATTTCTCTGACACATAGTTATGTATTTGTTCACCGTTGGTGTTCCGTCTGCCCAGGGGGTGGCGGGGATGGGGGTGGAGGGGAGGGAGAGAGGAAGGCAGCTGGACTGAATAAAATTTCCCTGTGGCATCCCCGTCCATGTGTTACAATTCCATCATTGACGCATCCACCCCGTCATCATGTTGCCACGACAGTCCACCCATTCATTCATTCGTTGGTTCGTTCATTCACCACTCTGTGGGAGGTGCCACTGACTTGCGTTCACCGCGTCCACTGACCGTATGCTGCCCTCGTTCATCCATGGCCACAATGCATCCGTCCAAGGTGTTCA